CGAGATTGAGCAGATGCGGGGCGGTTCTTCTCGACGGAACGCTCGCCTGGGGCTTCTTCAAATCGCACGACCACCAGTGTCACGTGAACAGGAGGTTCGCGGATGCAGTGCGGATCATTCCAAAGAGTGGGCCCTCGGCTAACACTTCAATAGAGATGCGATGACCAGAGAAGGCTATGCGGCAGTCATAGGAGGGCGGCATCTTTGAAAGGCGGGGCTGTTTGTCACATCCCTTTGTACAGTCGACCCGCATAGTAAGGATAGGCAGACACTCCCTCAAGGGTACCATTGCATCCTTCTCTCCTCGGTCTATCCTTGGCCACTGCTGTTGGCCGCGCCCCGCTCGAAAAGCTTCGAGATGGCCTTCCAAAACCCTTGCATCCTTATCGTGCGTCCTTATGCTACGGGTTGACTGTACCTCGAAAGGTGGCAACCACTTTCTTTCAAGACGGAGTTCCCGCTGGATTTACGGGTCCACAGCGAGATCATCTGTCAAGGGGCACGCTTGGCGCCGTGGAATCAAAAAAGGCTTGCGGGAACCAATGTGGCGGGGGTTTGTCGTGGGAGGGTGAACTGCAGCATCGGTGATGCCTTCTGTGTTCACTCTTGTCCTCATCATCCCCCTCATCCTCCAGATTCTCTTCACTTTCCTCCTGCCCTCCTCTTCCCCCCACCCTCATCATCATGTCAATAATCCGCCAGCCCCCTTGTGGGGCCACCAGGCTGTAGGCCCAGGGTTTGCTGTTCCCTGCACCAGTTCCAACTTCCAGTTTCCACTGTTACAACACTGGTTTATGCTGTTTACTGTTCCTTGTTGATGGACCGCGCAAGGGGGGGGAGCCGAAAAGTGCCTTGGTTAGCGTCCCCCGGAAGGGCTCTCAAAAATTCTGGGGGGGGCGAAATTAACACACCTCACGCAGATCGGCAGGGTCAGGGTTCAAAAACACGGGGGATTAGCCAAATTTCTGAAATCGGCGGGGCCCCTCACGCAGATAGATCCAAAAACACAAGGGACTTGTCACATTTCTGAAATTCGGAAGGACCCCTCACGCAGATCGGCGGGGTCAGGATCCGCACAGCATACGCGAGCAAGCTCGAAATCCGCCGACCCTGTCGGCGTGTGTGAGGGGTCTATTGTCCGTTCCCGTCGTTCGCTCGTCGTCGTCTTTGTCGTCTCCTGTCCCTGCGCCCACCCTTTCCCTGGCCCAGTCGTCTCCTGTCCCTGCGTCCCCCTTTCCCTGGGCCCGTCTCCCCTCCCCCCCTTTCCCCTCCCCCGGGCCCGTCGCCGCCCCCCCCCCCGCTTTGCCAGGGTCTCCCCCTCGAGAGGGTATCGTTGTCATTGAATCGAAGGGAAACCCCTTCCCTTTGCTCCCTCCCCTGCCAGGGGGGGGAGGGGTCCCAGAAGGGGTCCCAGGGGGGGGGGGGGCCCGGGGGGGTCCCGCGTCAGACACGACTCCCCCCCCCCAGCCCCAGCCGGGGAGGGCCCCCAGCCCCGGCCCCGGCCCCGGCTCCGCGTTTCCGGCCCCGGCCTCGGCCTCGGCAGGTCCCGGCCCCGGCCCCGGCCCGAGTCCCAGCCCCGGCCCTGGCCCTGGCCCCGGTCCCAGCCAGCCCCGGCTCCCGCCCCGCCGGCCCCGGCCCCGGACCCAGTCCCGGCCTCGGGGCCCTGGCCCCGGCCCCGGCATGGCCCAAACCCGGCCCTGGCCCCGGCCCCGGCCCCATCCCGGCCTCGGCCCCGGCCCCGGCCCCTGCCCTGGCCCTGGCTCCTGGCCCGCTCCGGCCCCAGCCCTGGCCCAGGTCCCGGCCCCGGCGCCCTCCAAATCTAACTACACCTCCGTGGCCTCCCAGATGCCCAAGATGCCTAGCTTCCAAACAGCGAACGAAGCCTGGAAGTCGCCCCAGGAGGGCTCCAAGACGCCCCGAATGGTCCTGATAGGCAACTGGCGTCGTCGTCAACATCGTCAACATTCTCGCCATTATCTCCCTACTTCTCCTCCTCGTGATCGCCACGCTCTTCTCGCCCCTGCCCTTCCTTCGTGCCCCCCCGCAATCCTGCTCGCCTCACTCTCCTCCTATTCATTTCCCCCCTGTGCTCCTACTCCTCCTCATCCACCTCTTCCTTCTGTCCCCCTCCTCATCTTCCTCACCATGCTCCGCGCCCTCCTCCCCAACCTCAGGGTCGGCGGCACCGGCCGTAAGGCCTTCGCAATACAACACCGAATTCAACAATGTCATCAAAATCTCAAGTTGTCTTGCCGATTACTCATCGTCCCGGCGGCGCCAAGGCCTCATGATTTCGCTTTTGCATTACCCATTATCCGAGAGAGGGGGCCAGCGGCAGGGGGCGAAGAACTTACGGATAATTGTCCAAATCCTATGTCATCCTCTTCCACCTTCTCGAGCTGGAGCTCCTCCTGCTCCTGCCCTACTCCTGCCTCCCTCTCCTCAAACTCGTCCGCACCATCCTCCTCCTCCTCCTCCTCCTTCTCCTCCTCCTCCTCCGCCTCTTCCGCACGATGCTCGTCTGCGTCCTCGTTCTTATCAGCCTTCTCCTCCTCGTCCTTCTCCTCCTCATGCTCCTCCTCCTGCTTTCCCTTCCGTGTAACTAGCTCCCACCCGTCGCACCGCCAGTGTCCGTAGGCTGGTCTGGGCGTTTCGTTTGAGACGTCACTTCACCACACCTTACTGCCCTGAAGCTAAAAACACAACAGCAGCGAGGATAGAGGGTCAGTAATATAGCAGCGTTCAATATTCGAATAAGCACCCACATCTTCAAAGATGGAGGGCGGGTCGTTTTCGAAATACGACTCTCGCCTTAGCACCACGCACATTATTCTTCCAAATTGGTCCCAGTTTTAAGGACGGAGGGGTAATTGTTTTCAAGATGCGATTCTTGCCCTAGCGCCGCGCACATTCGTCTTAAAGTCTTGCCACTTCTTCAAAACATGAGTCCGGTTCGTTTCCAAAATGGGGTCTCGCATTCGCGACGCGCACACTTGACTGGAAGGCTTGCAAAAGCTACAAGGATGGAAAGCGGCCCCTGTTCGAAATGGAGCTCTCACCTTAGCGAAGCGCACATCCGTCCTCAAAACTTGCAGCAGCTCCCAGGGTGGAGGACGGTTCCTTCTCAAAACAGAAGTCCCGCCTGAGCGGCTGCATTGAAAAATGAGGTTCTTGCATGAGGCTTCCTCAAACTGGATGGCCAAAAGTGAAATGGTGTGGGGGGCCGCTCCAGTGGCCTCCAAGGCGGCACCTCGAGGGGCACCTCCAGTGGCCTCCCTCTCGGAGCAGTAACTGCACCCCCGCCGCGGGGAGGATGTGGAGGAGAAGGAAGAGAAGGAGGAGGAGGAGGAAGAGGAGGAGGAGGAGGAGGAGAAGGAGAAAGAGGAGAAAGAGGAGAAAGAGGAAAAGGAGGCAGTCACATGGATTGGGGCCGCTCCTTTTCAACACTGGGCTCTCGCTGGACACCTCGCTGAATTTTTGGATTTCCCCTGTCAAAGAGTGGTGCGGAATCAGCCTTGGCAGAAGGGGCCCCTAGGAGCTCCGGCGGCTGCTGGAGGACGCGGGATGCGCAGAGTGCGGTTCTCCGCCTGGCGCCGCAACACAGTCCCAAGACTTGCGCAAATGGACGGCAAACCGATCTCAAAAAAAATAATTCTTCCCTCGGTGCCGCGCACATCGTTGTCTTTGCAACGTCTGACTGCTACGCGGATGGACGGGGAACAGGTTTCAACACTCACACGGGTTGAGGACGGCTGCTTCATTAGCATAGTGGGACTCTCGCTCGATCTCCCGGAAAATCATGACAATGCGTGAACAAGATGCACAGGAAAAAAAGGTTGAGGCGACAATGTTCTAGTCGCAAGTTTCTAGTCAGATGTGCTCGAGCACATCAATTTGACTAGAACATTGTAGGCAAGAAAATTGCAGGCAAGAAAATTGTAGGCTAGAAAAACTGATGTGCTCGAGCACAGCAATTCTAGTCAGTGGGGGCCCGTTTCTAGGCAAGAAAACAGTGCTCTTGATACCGTCGACAAGTTTCTAGTGCGATGTGTTCGGATGATCAGAGCTTGGCGAAGGCGGCGTCTGTTCGAATGCTATCGATTGGCACTTCCCTGAACGTTGCCATCCTACCTGCAAGACGGGCGTATCCCCCTACAGGCGGATTTTGGACGAAAGATCAAATTAAAATAAAAACAAACAAATCATATTATTGTTTGCTATTTGGGAATATTCCTCCTGTAGAGGGACATGCCCGACGTAATCCTACCTCTTGGCATCTCTCATCCGACAGGGGGGATCTTCTTCAAAACGGGGCTATCGCCTGAAGGGGCCCTGGGGCACACAAATATATAGACACAAATAAAAGGATCCCCCTTATTTTCCGGTATTTTCTGAGTTTTTGTCTTCCCCCCATTTCCCATCTTTTCCCACATTTTCCTTGGGGTATCGACGATTAATTGTGTCTGTGTGTTTGTTCCCCTCCTGATTCAAAACGGGGCTATCGCCTGAAGGGCAGGCCCTTGGGACGCTCGCCTCTCACAGAGGCACACGTCCCGCAGTGGAATGCACGCATCTCTTCTGAGAAGGGGGCTGGTGGCGGGAACGTGCCCTGCCGCATCGTCCTGGTGTTCCTCTGGCCCTCCCCCTCCTCCTCCTCCTCCTCCTCCACCTCCTCCACATTCCCCCCGAGCCCTCCTCCAAGCTGAAACGATCCTCAGTCTTGGGTCTTGAGCAGGAGGTATGAAGGAAGAGGAGGAGCAGACGGAGGAGGAAAAGCACACAGGGGAGGAGGAGGAGGAGGAGGAGGAGGAGGAGGAGGAGGAGGAGGAGGAGGAGGAGGGGCACATAGAGGATGCAAAGGAGGAGCACATAGAGGAAGAGGAAGCGGAGGAGGAGCAGCACATTGAGGAGGAGGAGGAGGAGGAGGAGGAGGAGGAGGAGGAGGAGGAGGAGGAGGAGGAGGGGGGGGACAAGGACGAGGAGGACGACGACGCACGCGCCTGGCCGCGTCCGCGCCCGCGAGCAGCAGCCGCTCCACCACCGGGGCGTGGCCGAAGCGGGCCGCGGCCATCAGCGGGGTGTACTGGCCGCAGGGAGAGAGGGGGGACGGCCGCGGCGACCGGCCGGCCCCGACCGCCGCCGGCGCCGGCGACCCCCCAGACCTCCTCGCGCCGCGAAAGAATCCCGACGGGAGGCTTTTCGCCACGTTCGGCCTCTGGGGGCCCTTCCCGGGCCTCGGGACCGGCCAAGAAACGGCTCGGGAGGAAAGACCGGTCCCGGGGAAAGGGTCCAGACCTCTGGGGGTCGACGTCGCGGCAGAATCACGACGTCCCCAGACCCCCGACGTCATGATTTTTTCATGACGCGACCCCCAGAGGTCCGGACCCATTCCCCGGGACCAGTTTTTCATCCTGAGCCGTTTTTTGACGGTCCCGAGGCCCGGTGAGAGCCCCCAGAGGCCGAAAATAGTGAAAAGCCTTCCGTCGTGATTTTTGCATGGCCCGAGGGGGTCTGGGTCGGGGGTCTGGGCCGGGCCTCCGACGACCCGGGAATTTGCAGGCGGCCGCTCCTTTGATCTCCGCGACCCCTGGGCTTCGCCAGGGGCCCGCGGCCGAGCCCCGGGGCCGCCACGGGCGGGCCCAGGGCGCGAGAGATGCGGGAACGAGGGCGAGGGCGAGGGCGAGGGCGAGGGCGAGGACGACGACGACGACGACGACGACGACGACGACGACGACGACGACGACGACGGCGACGACGACGACGGCGACGACGACGACGGCGACGTCAGCGGGGCGTACTCCACCAGGGCTCGGGGCCGAGGGGGCCGAGGAGGAGGAGGACGAGGAGGAGGAGCAGGAGGGGGACGCTTCGGGCCACCTGCCAAAGGATATCCACAGTGGGCCCCCCTCCGCCATCGTGGAGCTCATCCCGCCAGCGGACGTACAAATCCGCGAGGGATGGTCAACGACACCAGCGGACCTACCAGGACAGCACCCATAAAGCCAACGCTGGCACCGAGACCAAAATCTTATGAAACCTACATTATGGCAGGAGCTGGAGGACATCATCGTCGGAGGCTTACGAGGACGAAGGTAAGCGACTTTCACAACAATGAAGTGCACCTATCACCAACTGTTCGAGAGCTCGGACAGAAGACACTCAACAAGATGAGGATCAGGCACTACAACAGCTTCAGAAGCGACCATGAACAGAGGCTGCTCATCACCGGCTTCAAACAAAAACAGCGAGCATCCGAGCAGATATCGCGCAACCAAAATAAAAAAAGAAACTAAATAATGAGACGCGAACGATTTAACCAACCAAGGAACACGCCCAACCAAGGACAACCAGAAATCCAACGCCTCAACGCCCAAGTAGCAATACCTACGAGAAGCCAGTACAGCGCAAACCTGCCAATTCTTCAGACGGAGCAACAGCGAAATACGACAGTCCCACCACCGCCGAAGTGCCAGCCAAAACAGAAGCTATGGGACCCAATTCAGCTTGCTGAACGGCTGCGGGAACTCGGCAGACCGGGTCTCCAGCACTTGCCGCTACATCAGCTACCATGCCTGGAGCCATGGGTACCCAACAAGGCCTCATATGCTTGGCATAGCTGGAAATGCCGGGTCTTCTACTACAGCTTGAACAGCCTCAAGTCGGAGTGAGATCACCCCAGCAACGGTCTACTCTTGGACGGGTGGACGCGGCTCCTGTCCAAAGAGAACGTCGAGATGTTCTCCCAAGAGGAAAGCGAGAACGCGGTGAGCAATGCTTGGCGGCGAGCGAGGGGGGCAAAAGAGAAGGCGAAGGCCTTCTCAGAAGGCTCGGAAGACCCCTGGCCTTCTGAGAAGTCTCCTGAGCCTTCCCAGAAGACACAAAGAAACCTCTCGGAGGGCGCGCGGGCTTCTGAGATGTCCCGCCGCCTTCTGAGAAGGCCTTCTCCTTCTTTCTTCCCCCACTCGCTCGCCACCGCACTGCGACATCGACATGACAGCCTTTTGACCTTGACTTGACAGATGGCGTGCGGTGCGCCGACGGAGCACCAGGCAAATATCACTCGGCTTCCCCCTCCTCCTCCTCCTCCTCCTCCTCCTCCTCCTCCTCGTCCCTACTGTCGCGGCGTCGCTCAGCCGACCCAGAGTTCACGCGACGCCCGAGCCTCAGACACTTCTCACTCGCACCAGCCCTCTCTGCACCGCCCCCCCTGCATTGCAGGCACGAGCGAAATTCGGGGGTGGATAGAACCCCCAACAGTGACACGTCGATCAATGAACTGTCCGTCTCCGATCCTCGAGAGGGCGCCGTGCCGGCTATTTTCCAGGTCTGCGCCCGCCAGGTTTGGGCCTCAGGTCGTTTTCACTAAACCACGTTTTACTCAAGGGGGGTCAGTCCACCCCAAAAAAGGTCCTGGGCGTTTGCGAAAACCGCCCTGCCCTGTTCGATCCCTTCTTTGGGCGCGTTTGCTAAACGACTCCGCATGTCGGGGTGGTGGAGGAGGAGGAGGAGGAGGAGGAGGAGGAGGAGGAGGAGGAGGAGGAGGAAGGGAAGTCTGCCCATCCCCGAGAAATGGGTCTGAAGGGAAACGGGCCTGGACTCCGGGGCTTTGCCCCAAGGGACCGGCCCTTCATCCCGAGTCGTCTCCTGCCGGGCGCCCGAGAACGGGCCCCCGCGGGCGGAGGAGGAAGAGAGAGGAGAGGAGAGGAGAGGGGAGGAGAGGAGAGGAGAGGGGAGGGGAGGAGAGGAGAGGAGAGGAGAGGGAGAGGGAGAGGGCGAGGGAGAGGGGGAGGAGAGGGGGAGGAGAAGAGGAGGATCGGATCGGATCGGAACGCCCTGGGAGGGTTCTCAGAATTTCGGGGGGGGGGAAAATTGACACCCCTCACGCAGATCCGCAGGGTCAGGGTCCAAAAACACAAGGGATGTGCCACATGTTTGAACCTCAGTGGCACCCCTCACGCAGATCGGCGGGGTCAGGGACAAAAAACACATGGGATTTGCCACATTCCTGAAATTGGGTAGATCGGCGGGGTCAGGGTCAAAAAACACAAGGGATGTGCCGCATTTCTAAAATTCGGCGGCACCCCTCACGCAAATCGGCGGGGTCAGGGTCCAAAAACACATGGGATTTGCCACATTTCTGAAATTCGGTGGCACCCCTCACGCAGATCGGCAGGGTCAGGGTCCAAAAACGCATGGGATGTGCCACGTTTCTGAAATTCGGTGACACCCCATCACGCAGATCGGCGGGGTCAGGGTCCAAAAACACATGGGATGTGCCACGTTTCTGAAATTCGGTGGCACCCCTCACGCAGGTCGGCGGGGTCAGGATCGAAAAACAAACAGGTCCCGACACTGCTTCATTATCCGAGACAGGGGGCTGGCGGCATGGGGCGAAGCCCTTACGGATATAAGCATTTTCCTTTTTTTATGAATATGATTAGCATGCTTATCATTGATATTGGGCTTAGTAGTATTATGAGTATGAGTATGAGTCTTCTTAGTGCTGCTAGCACTCGCCGTCTTGATATGATTCGTATAAGTGTTTTGTATAATAGTTGTAGCGTTCCTTCCCTTATTAATATGATGATTATTATTCTGATTAGTTGTAGCATCAATATGATTACTACTCGTTTTATTGGTACGCTTCTTATTAGTACTACGATTACTCGCATTAGTATTCGTATGCTTCGTTTTCGTACTACTATTATGATTATTCCTCCTCCCCCCTCCTCCTCCTCCTCCTCGTTTTCCTCCTCCTCCAGGAGGGGCAACGTCAGTAAGTGGGGGGGGATCGAGCTGAAATCGCCGATACATCGCCAGTACATCGGCGATAAGACTCCGATGGCGAATCTCAAAGTTTTTGCGCAGGGCGGGGCGCGGTTGAAGGTTGCCGCATCTCTCCCCTGAGCATGTCCCCCCCTAACGCTGGCCCTGAGCAAGTCCATTGGACAAGAGTCGTCAAGCCTTTAGGAACTCCCCCTCCCACCAGTTCCAGACTGGAGGGGGGAACTGCGCTCTCGGCCCGCTTCCGCCCCTGCGGTTGCCTCCCTCCCACCCTCTTCCATTCACTCCCGTACTCCCCTCCCCCTATCCTCCCCTTCATCCCCGTCAGCCTCCTCCCCATCCCCCTCCCGCTCCCATCCCCCTCCTCCCGACGCTGTAATGTTAAATTCTCACCCGCACGACCCCCACCCCCCAACCAGCTGCTGGGCCTGTCCGCCCCGCAGCCCCCCCCCCGCCTCCGCGAGCCACCTCCCCCCCCACCCCCACCCAGGGCGGGCGGCGCAGCGTAGCCGTGCCCACCGACCCCGCTCCTTGGCGCTCTGGCAATCAACGTCCGCCCCCGCGCGGATCAGCACCTGGCGCAGACTCTGGGGGGGGTCGTCGCCGTCGTTGTTTGTTTCCCCTTCTCGTGGACAGTCCCCCGCCGCTGGGGGAAAGGAAGCAGTGACCATGACCATGATTACAAGGACAAGAAGCTGGACGTTTTCAACATGGGGGTCCCCCATTAGCGCCGAACACAAACGTCGCACAAGCTTGCGACAATGACTGGGATGGAAAAACGCTGTTCTACATGGGGCCTTCGCCGTAGCGACGCGCACGTTCTTCACGAGTTTTCGGGATGCAGCTTTGGGGTCCCCGCCATGGCGCCGCGGACATTCGCGCGAAATGTCTGGAGCAGCTGCAAAGCTGGAGGACGGCTCTTTCTCAAATGATTTCGTTCAAGATACCATCATAGATCATAGAACTAGAACCCTATGACATGTATCTGCAATTCGGCCGCTGCACTGAAACACCTCGGCGTTATGCCTGCGCCCCACACGTTGTTGACATGCTTCGCGATTGGAGTTGTCGCTGCCCGTTCCTCGACATCCTGGCTTGACCGCGTTTCCCTGGCAGTGCGGTCAAAACGCGTATTCCGGACTGGTGGCAAGGACGCAAAACTTTCGGAGATCAACTTTGGGATTGTTAAGCGGCGGGCGACCAATGAAATCGGCAAAGGACGGGCCGCAGAGGCAGTGACAAGAGGGTTCCCTAAATGAACGCGCGCATCTATACTACGCGCGTTGACCGCACACCAGCGCCCTGCGCCCGAAGCCGCCCGCACGCTCCCGCCGTGCTCGGCGGTTCGGGCATCGTTCCCTCCTTTGCCTCCACGGCTGCCGTCTTCTTCTCCACCTGTTTGGGTGCGCCGAATGCCCAGCGCGGCCCGCTGGCATTGCAGACGCGCTTGCGACCGCCAGCGACGTACCCAACCCCTGCGAAACACCCGGCGAGAACAGCTTGGTATAATTCATCGGAAATGATGACGCGACACGGAAGAACATATTTGTGCGAACGGCACTCGTAAGGTTCGCAAGACACCGATCAAGGGACAAAGGCTTGGTAGAGATGGTTTGTTGGATCTTCGAATCGGGGGACGGTAAACAAGGGCGAAGAGAAAGCGAACGGAGAGTTTGAAACGTCAGCGGGGCAAGCAACAGGACATGGCAGCTGGAAGGGAGGAAATGACGACAACAGGAGGGCAGAAGGATAATGACTACGTCTCGAGGCACGCCAACAAACATGCACAGTCTGTGCAAGAACTGCGCGAGGCCGAGCAGCTCTGCCACCTGCTGGCCCTCTCCCCCACACTTCTCTGCACGTGAGGTGCAAGCGCCAGGCGCGCCGCGAAGTCCGCGGCGGGCGACCCGCGAGGAAGGAACTGCCGCCCCCGGCCCCACATCATCAGGGCATTATTCTCGGCCTTCGTGCCCCCCCAGGGATACCGAGGTCTGATTTAGATTTGTTGCAAGTACTCACTATGCTGCCCCCCAGCAGCCCTCGAAAGTGACGACACTTTCGCGGATCGCACCCCCGCCCCAGGGATGGCGAGGTCTAGCTTGACTGCACGGCAAGTACCCACCAAGCTGGTCCCCCGCGCAACCCTCGAAAATGGCGACAATTTCGCGGACCGAAACCCCCCAAGGATGGCGAGGTCCCGCTAGGATTTGCTCAGCACCGCAGTAAGCTGCCCCCCCACAGCAGCCCTCAAAAATGATACAGCTTCGCGGATCGCAACCCCCCAAAGATGGCACGGCCCCACAATGATCTGCTCAGCACCGCACTATGCTGCCCCCCCCCCCAGCAGCCCTCAACAGTCGCGATTGTTTCGCAAATCTCAACCCCCCGAGAATGGCGAGGCCCCGCCCTGATCTGCTCAGCACCGCACTAAACTGACCCCCCATCCAACAGCCCTCGAAAATGGCGACAGCTTCCGGATCGCAGCCCCCAGGGATGGCGAGGTCCCCCTCGCACTCACCTGCCCCCCCCAGCAGCCCTCAAAAGTGCGCGACGACTTCGCAGCTCGCAGCCCCCCAGGGATCGCAGCCCCCAGGGATGGCGAAGTCGGAGGCAAGCACGAGAGAAGACAAGGGAGAGAAAGAGAGAGAGAGAGAGAGAGAGAGAGAGAGAGAGAGAGATTTCACAACAAAAAAAAGGAAAGAGAACCCGGGAGGCGGGAAGGCAGACGAGCGAGCAGAGCTCAATTCAAAGCGAGTACCCAACGAAAGGAGGCTTGGGAATAAGCAAGAGGCAAGGGCAGGAGGAGGCAGGAGGAGTGAGCGGGAGAAAGAAGGGGAAGAGGTGGAGACCACAGTGCTCCATTCAAAACGAATACCCAACCAAGGAGGGTTGGGAATAAACGACTGCTAGACGGACGGGGGGCGACTGTGCCCCAAGACGAGAACCCAGCTTCAGGGCTCTTACTCAGCAAAATTACAGCCAGAGCCCAACATCGCCAAACGGCTCTGTGTACGTCAGGGGGGCCACAAGGAGGACTCGGCCCCGCCTCGCGCGCCGCGACGCCCACCCGCCTGCTCGAGTCGCAGCGCGCGTCGCTACCGGAGAGACACCGGGCGGCCACCCATGGAGCACCTGTGGGCCACATTGGCAAAAGCTGCGCAGGAAACGCACAGGCTTCGCAGATTCCTTCGGGGCCCCGACGGAAAACCGCCGCCCGGCTCCTTCTGGCCACCACCGCACTGGCGATCATGCTCAGTATGGGAATCCTGGCCCGACGGGGCGCGCGCGGGAGGCCGCGCTGGCCTCCTGCGATCCCTGGAACACGGCTTGGCTGCCCATCAGCGAGAAGGTCGGCACGGCCCACGGCGCCAGCGCGAAAAAGTTCCGGCCCCACGCGCGCAACTCGATGCGCTGATCGGGGCCGTCGGCCAGCGCGCGGCGGCACCCCGCCACCACGCGATGACGACATGCACGAATGCCCCACCATCTGGAAAGGTCGGGACAGGAGCGGCCCCCCACTGAAGGCCGCGTTGATCGTCCTGGAGCACCTGGTGCCCCCGGCGAACCTGGCTGGCCAGAGATGGAAGACTGAGCGGTCCGCGACATTCTATCGACCTGGCGGGCTCGGAGGCCAAGCTAACTTGGGCGCCCGAGTTATCCGGGATAACTCGGGTCCGGGGTAACTCGGGTTTGGATTCCCGAGAAAGGAACCCGAGTTACCCCTGACCCGAGTTACCCCTGATGATTCGGGGCTCTGGACGCCCGAATCATCCGGGGTAACTCGGGCCCGGGGTAACTCGGGTTCGGATTCCCGAAAAACGAACCCGAGTTATCCCTGACCCGAGTTACCCCTGATGATTCGGGGCTCTGACTAACGGGCCAGACCAGTCTCAGCCAGGCCGCGCAGGCGGAGCACATCACGGCGCGCCCAGCTCCGGACGCGACCTCCTCGCAGCCCCCCCGCGTGCGCCACTGCCAGGAGTAGTCCTGGGCCCGCCGGAGCCTCGCAACCATGACGCCAGGCTCGACCCCGCCAGGGCCACCACCATCATCTCGCGCGACGAACGCAGCAACAGCCACCGCGCGGACGGAGGCCCCGCCCAAAGCCGAGACGCGCCGACTCCTGGCGGCCAACCGGAAAGCTGCCAACCAGAAGGGCCTAAGCCGTCGATGGCGACACGTGGTCTGCCGGCGGGGCGGGCGCAATGCCTGGGGACAGCCGATCCTAGAGGTTGCGAAGCCCCCCGTCTCCCCTCGCACCTCGGTGAACCAGATGGCGCTGGAGACTGGCGAGCACGCGCGACGCCCGTCCCCGCGCAGGTGCCTGGCGGCGAAGCCGACAGACAGCACTCGGCCGGCGGACCTCATCCCGGCGCAGACAGGCCCCCACAACCCAGCGCCAATCGGCACCGCCACCCCGCGGACTCGGACGGAGGCAGACTGGCTCGGCGCGCAGTTCGCGCGACACAGATACACGGAGAAATGCGACGGATGCCCAGCGCGGAGCCAGCCCTGGCGCGGACGCCCGGAAAACCTCCGCTCGGCATGTTCGCCATCCGCCCTGACGAATATCTTCGGGGCGCGCTCGCGCAAGACCTGGCGCGCGGCCCCCCCGCCCTCCCTGACATGGTTCGCGCCGTAAGAAAAAAAACGAATGCCCGGCGGCGAGGCGCGGGGCGCCCACTCCAAATAACGCCCGGCCGCCAGACGCGCGGACCACACTGGCCAGAGACGGAGCCACGGCCCACCCAGGCAGCCCGCTGCCACGCAACGAGGGAACGCCCGACATCAAGCTGGGCGCCCTCCGCCGGACACAAGGACGACCCCCGCCGCCTCCAGCACCAGTGACCCAGCTGACGACCTGGACCAGCGCATGGCGCAGCAGGCTGGCACGATCGCCGTCGAGCCAAAGCCCCCTGCTGACCCCAACAAATTTCTCTCGACGCCGCCGACCTCCAGGACATGGCCAGGGAGCGGCAGCGCACCACCCCACTGATCGACCCCGGGGAGAGCGACGATCGCGCTGGAGGCCGCATGGAACGGGAAACACAGCATCCCTGGCTCGACGCGACGGCCCACCGCGATCGCCCAAGCGCAGGCGCAGATTGGATCCCAACGTGGGTCTTTCACTATAGAGAGGGCCCTGAAAGACACGTCGACACACTGATTCTGCGCATCTGCGCCCACGCGGCCTGGCGAAGCGGGGCGGCATCAACGCGACGCCAACGAGCGACGTGGACTCGACCCTTGGCCTCGACGCACACCGCGCACGACTACCCGCAAAATGAAGTTCTGCAACCGATAGC